CAAGGCCTGAGGCCTATATCGGGTAAAGGCCCTTTTAAAATCATTAAACATAACAAGTTTTACAAGTAGGACGTCGCCCAGTCATGGTTCGAATTAGCAAACAGATCCTCCACATACCATTGCCTTCTAAATCTATGTCGGTCTGAGTTAGCAATTCACAAGTAAAGAGTTCGTAAATCCTTTTTTTTTTCCCCTCCAAACAGAGACGCAAAGTTCGCGGGGAAGGATTGGCGAAAGCTGATGGCAGCCTATGGAATTCAGTTAACCAACTTTTGAGATTGCACACACATCTGCCCTGATTAGAATCATTAAATTGTTGATTGGTATCAAAGACTTCTCCCTATGATAGCTAAAGTGCGCATAATAATGAGACCGAGACGATGTAAAAATTGATTGAATATAAGGAATGGACTATAGCAGACAGTTTTCTCTTTTTTTTTTTTTTTTTTGTTTGGAGAATGTCATTTCCGATATCCCTCTATCCTGGTGGTGGTAAGAGAACCGTCAGAATTGAGGGCTTACCTGTCGGGCTGCTCCATCTATTGGTGGGGAGCGGCACCTGCTGGAAAACGGGTCCAGTATCCCATTGATACATCATGTTGCACTGAGATTGGTGTCTGTTGTTTCCTGGGGCTGTGGTTATTATTCACTCATCCTGGGGCTCCGTCATCCCATGGAGCTGCTAGCATCACCCTTCCCTTATCAGGACCCCTTATCTATTAACCCCAGCCCTATTTCAGCAGCCCCCTGTATGGTTATTGTTATGTGTGTCCCTGTAAACCCTTTACATCCTATTCCCCTTCACATTTGACGGAAACGGAAGATTCATATACCTGGGCCCACATCGTACCCCCGGAATCAGCCTAGTACCCTGCTACCCCAAACCGGTGCAGTTCAAAAGCTGGCATTCTTACAGAGTTCCCCCTTCCAAACCACTTCCTTCATCTTCGCGCAGGGGGCATGCACCCCAGCCAATCCCAAGGGGTCTATTGACAACGTTCCTGGGAGCCTCTCTGTTATTGCCCTTCCATTGTGTTGTCCAGTCTCCATTAGCTGTCTGCATTGGCGTCGGCATCCAATCTCCTGGCCGTGTATCGTGTTCTGTTCGTTGATCCATTCGGCATCCAATCTTCGCCACAGCAGACCTTGCATGTCTTCCTATCCGCATCAGCAACTGTAGCTTGTCTTCAGGGCAGCCGGGAGGTGGTGGGGAAGGGATGTGGTGCGAGGGATAGGGAAGGGAGGCAATCGATTGGGAGGGCCAAGGAAGAGGTAGAGGGGTAGGGCGGGGGGTAGGGCGGGCGGTGCCTGCCCTGGCTATCAGTCCTGAGGCGGTTGATTGCTATCAGACCCCCCCGAGACGATGCGAAAATTGATCGAATATAAGGAATGGACCACTATAGCCGGTTTTCTTCGCATGGCATTTTTTATGTTATTTGACTTGGCAAGTATAATAAGGTGCATTTTGTGAAAAAGTGAATGGACTCCCTCCAACTTTTGAGAATGCACACACATCTGATCTGATTTAATTGTTGATTGCTATCAGACCCCCCCCCCACACAATAACTAAGAGTGGACATACCGAGACAGTCCAAAAGTTGATAAGAGTGTAAGTGATACCGGATTTTGTTTGCATGCTGTTTATGACGTTATTCGACTTTGCACGTTTTCAAGTATGAGAAGCTGCATTTTCTCTTATCACCCCCCCTAGCGGTAGAGTCGGTATTGGGAAAGAAAAAAAGAAACAGAGACGATGCATTTTGTGACGAAGCGAACGCCAAACTCAATACATAAGAGATGCAGCATGTCTCCCAATAGTTATTAACAATCTACTCTCTGCTCCATAGCTAGCTACCGTCTTACAGCTGTATGTATTTACTATTTACACTGAAAGATACCCCAAATTCAGCTATGATGCCCGCGCGTTGCATTTGGGGGAAGACGGTAGCTACCATATTCACCTGAATACAACGTGAGATGATTTCAGCTGTATTTGTATGTTGTATCGGCGTGAAGACAGGGTATTGTGGCAGTTCGTTAAGGTGACCAGGACGAACCCTTGTACATGATCTATATTCCCTCCGCACCTGAAAACTACTTATCCTGTTTTACTTACATCTAAAAGCTATTACCTAGCATGAAGGCCTGTGCTCCCTCCTTTCATGGATGGAAGATGTGAAATTGATACATCGCATTCTCGCACACAGTTGGCTCAGAGGTACATCAGAAAACAGTGAAGAAAATGCAAACAGCAAAACGAAAGATTTAACCCGCCCGTACATCCGAAAAAGCAGATTGAGCCCCTAGTCTAAAAATTAGGAGGCCATGGACCGTCGATAAAATGGATCGGCGGTTCACGGCCTCCTAATTTTTAGGAGAAACTCTATCTGGCTTTTTCCCCCTCCATCGCGCCGACTGGCCTAGCTCAGTTGCTACACCCTTCAACTGCTGAAATACAAACACCAGTTCAAACTCCACTGCAAGCATATGAATGAAATATTACACTTTTTCTGAATTGCCTAGGGGACCCTTCGGTCCGTTGATGATATCTCAAGACTGCCACCCGGCTTGATTGCGTTGTCGGACACGGTTGGCTCAAAGATAATTCTGGACAGTGAAGAAAATGAGATCAGCAGAAGGAAACATTTCAACAGTCTTCAATGGACTGAAGGGTCCCCTAGGCAATTCAGAAAAAGTGTCCGACAACCCGGAAAACGGGTCCGGCATCCCTTACATCATAGAGAAGGTTCAACAAAATGAACAGAAGAAAAGAAGTATGCGAAAAACCCTAATTATACTCAACATCAGGAACAAAGTCATCCATCCTCTGTTAAACACCATATCCTGTGTATCTGGCCTACCTCCCGCACGGCAACCTTATGTTTTTTATAGGTTGTTGGATCGGACGTCCGGGACCCCCCCGACCGGACGTCTGGTCGGACGTCCGACCGGACAGGGTATGTCCGACCTAGCGCAAGAAAAAAAAAAAAAAAAAAAAAAAAAAGTTTCTCAGAAAAATCTGAAAAACAAATATGTTATGTAACATAACAATACAAGCAACTTTTGCCTTGGAGTCATGTTCAAATTCGCAATCAATCATGAGTTAAAAATAAAAAACCGAAAAAAAAAAATTATTATTATTTTTTTTTTTTACGAAAAAAAAAAATTGTTTTTCTGGACGACGGGGGTACCGGACGTATGGGGAGACGTCCGGGGAAGACGACCGGCCCCCGGACCTAGTTTTTTTTTTTTTTAATTTCTTGAAGTTTTTCTACATTTAAAAAAAATAAAAAACATAAAGAAAGAAGATAACAAAAAAATAAAATGAAATGGGTGTTTTTCTAGGCTACCAGAGTGGCCCGGGAGGGAGATCCCACTACCGACGTATGTGGATTAGTGGAGATGGTGTGTGACTCCGAAGAACCGCTGATCGGAACGGTGATCGGCGGTGTGGTGTTTCTTGTATTTGAGCGGGGGGACATACATGTATTTTTGCGGCCTCCCGTTGGTCCGTCTTTCTTTGTATTTTGTTGGGTAGGCCGTGTAGGGGTCTCCAACGTGAGTGAAAATCATAACGATTTTTTTGGTGATGATTTTCACACACCTTCCACACACCTTTGGCCCGTGGCCCATGCATGGAAGAGAGTCCGAAATAGACAATGTAAGAGGTGTTTTGGGAGGATTCGATCCCCTCACCTACAGCAAAAATGGCATAGAGTTACTCTGACATCTGTCAGAGCGAAGGACCAGAGTGCTCTGTGGCCCATTTCAAGGAAGGCTCAGACTACTGTAAATGAATATGGTCCACTTGGACGCTCACATGCAGTCATCCATGGTCAGTCAATCATGCCCTGACATCTGAAACGCTGCCTGGATGAGATAGGATCCATGGAAAGAGCACTTCCTTCTCTTTTTTCGCATTTCTCTCTTCATTTCTTTTGTCAAGATACGGTTTTTCGTTTTTATTTTACCTACTGTACTCTGCCACCCACCCGTCCCCCACCCGTCCCACACACGTCACACTAATCCAAATGCATGGTAGTGGGATCTCCCTCCGGGTCCACTTGCCCGGCCGGGCCAAAAAGAAATAAAAAAATAAAAAAATAAAAATTATTTAAATTAAAATTTTATTTTAAATCTGGTAAAGAATTTCGATGTGACCCTGAGGCAAAAGTTGTTCAGTTTTTTTTCTGCATAACACAGGTTTTTTTTTCGGATTTCTTTTTTTTTTTTTTTTT